TCCTTACCAAAGTGGGAATTATCCTTGATTCAGGAGTTCAAGAGCATTCATTATTGGTGCATTCACCTAAGGAGCGACTAGCTCATTCCCTAACTCAGACAAGGAGTGTTCTTCCTAGGTTATCCTTAGACAACTTGTAATAGCCTCTTTAGTCTGGGCAACTACAGCCTTGCTTTTTGAACGAGATTTGGTATTATGAGGCATGATTAGTGTTGCACAATCTTGTAAAGAAAACTAGATCTGCTGAAATATGGAAAGCTTGGCGAAGGCCTTCATTCTAGCTCTAAAATGTTGATACAGTGATTTGCACCGACGAGAAGTATGCAGGATTCTAGACGAATATACACAGGAGCCTGTTTGAGACCCAAAGATTTGATGCAGAATCAATGAATGTAAAGACAAGAAAAAATAGAAATAGAAAATAGATTTTTAAAGTGGTTCAGATACTGAAAGCAAATCCAAATCCACTATTATGTTATTTGCGCTTGTGTAATAAGCTCACAACAATGTGTTTCTTATGAGTATTCTGTAACCTAATTCTTTGTCGTCCCCCTAAAACTGATTATAATGGGTTTATATAAGGCCAACTACATGTTTGAATTAGAAATAAACACTATATCTTTTAAACAAGAAAACAACTCGATCTTCAACTCTCATTCGAGAATCCATATCACCAAATATCGCTTTACCAAAATGGGATTTGTCCTTTCCTGACTTGTTGCACAACGAATTGGAAATAAAACCAAACTTTGATAGATTAGGAAAGCAGTGTGATCTTCGGCCTTGATTCTGGAAAGATATCTTCGCACCAATCTAGGATTTATCCTCTCCGGATTTTCTGCGCTTCATTTTAATGGCTTGACACATGGCGCAAATCCATGCTCCGTGATTTGTCACACAACAAAATTAATGAATGTTTCAAAATGATATAAATTTAAACTTAAAAAAAAATATTACTATAAGACTTTATTTCATGAAATATAACAAAATTATAAATGAATTTTTTTTTTTTTCATAAATGGTATGTTAACTGGTTAATCATAAAACTTTTTAAGTTTTGAGTTGATTTTTAAACTTAAAAAGTTTAGGCCCTTTTAACAGGCAATCTATAAAATAATTTGAAAAAACAAAATATAATTAAAAATTTTGAGTTTTAAATCAATATTTTTAATATCTAAAATGTGTTTAATATACTATTTAATAAAAATATATTTAGAGTTAAAAGACATAGAAAATCGAGCAAAGTGCATAGTTTAAGTATATATCACATTAATTATAGGATTGTATTTAAAATTATTATAGGAAATATTTTAACAACATGTTTCATAATATATATACAGTAGAACCTCTTTATAGCAATACTCTGTATAAGAATAACCTCTATATAGTCATAAAAAATTTTGGTCTCAACTTGAATAGTTATAAATAAGAATAAATTTTACATTATAATAAGTTATAATTTTTCTAGATCCCGTCTTAAAGAACTTGCCTCTACATAGTAATAATTATAGGTATATTGCAAAACATATATACTATATTACATTAAATATTTAAGATGAAATAAAATATTTATTTAAAGTTTTTTGAGACAATGATTTATAATTTAAAGTTGTTACAATATTTTTTTAGTGATACCACATTTACACCACTTTTTTACATCATTTTCATTAAATCATGGTGTGGCACATGCCACAACCACACAAATTCTATTATAATATATAAAATTCAAAATAATTAAAAATTCGTGTGGTTGTGACATATGTCACATCATGATGTAATGAAAATTGTGTAAATTTAACATTACTCATATTTTTATCTTGTAGGTATATAATAAGTCGCTAACATGGACACTTTCATGTTGAAACCAAAATATTTCTAGCTTCTCAAGCATATTTAGAGCTTCTTGGCATGAAACTTTTGGTATGTTTTGGTATTTTTCTACTATTATTCTCAGGATTATCTCCTTCCTCTTTTTATCTAATTTAGTAATTGTTTCTTCTTCAATTAAAACATACACAACTTCTTGTTCATTTGAATGATTGAGGAAGACATTAATATCCATTTGATTAGTATAATGAAGTTATCGAATCTAATCACTCAATTCATTTGTACTATCAAAACATGAATTATAAAATAAAAAATAAAAAAAATAACTCTTGTAGCTATACCTCTATTAAATTATAACATTTTCATAACAATAAATTTAGTTGGTTCCAACCTTATGACTATATAGATGTTCTATTGTAAAGATATTCATAATGTTGGTTATTGAGTATATATAAAAGGGTAGGGCTATTTAAGTCTCATCCAAACTCTTTTGTAAGCCCCAAAATCAATTAAAATAAATAAATTTTAATTTATGATAAAATTATCTTTTTTTTTTTCTAATTCTTTTTAACTTCTTTACTTTCTTAATCCTTCTTAACTTCTTTACTTAATCCTTCTTAGGTTCTCTTATTTCTTAATCCTTTTAACTTGTCTTTTATTTAGTCATGATTAAGAAATAACAGATAAACAACGATGATTTGTTGAAGGCAATCAAATAATTTATCCTAAAATTATTAACAATGCAATGAAATAAGAAAATAAGTTCAAATAATGTATTTCAAGTAAAAAAAAAAAAATAAAATTATATACAGAGAGATAAAATCAGAGGTAAAATATTTGAAACAGTTTCTTAAAAATTCAAAATTTTAGAAGTATATAGAATTGATTTAATCTGAAAAAAAGAAAAATATAATAATAAAAAGAGTTATTGTGGGCAGATAAAAACAGTGTACATGGAATCCAATTCCAAAGGGCCTAGTTTGTAGTCCACAAAGTTTAAATAGAATTTGGTCCGAGAGAAGCATTTGGTGACAAACAATAATACATTGGGCCTGATGAAGCAAGAGTGAGAGTATTTAATAATTGTCGTACTTAAATGGATAAATAATTATACGAATATTATCAATTTGGGAATAAAACATACAATTGAAATGCCTAAGAAATAAGAAATAGACAAAAAATAAATAGATGTTGTTGGACTTAATTAGATAAGGGCAAAAATGTATTTAACAATTATATAAATTTTTAATGATATTTTGTTATTTCTTTAATTTTTTTATTTATAATAATTTGAGTTCCTTTTAATTTTTAATTTTTAAGTATTTTTAAATATTAGTTTATGAATATTATATATTTTAAATTTTTTCATTAAAATTAATGGCAACTAATGGTTTTTGCCATTTTCTGTGTATGTAGAACATTTTATCCTTTTTTTTTTTTTTTTTTGTTTCAGAAAAAAAAATCTCCTAAAATAATATATCCATTTATTACATTTGTCAATAGTGAAAATAATAAGTAGAGTTCATAAGAGTTGATATCCGCTTGTAGTGAAGCACTAACTAAATTTAAAAGGAGTTAAATAAGAGTTATATTTAATTTCGCCAAAATTTGAGGGGTTGTACACAAGTGACCAACTCTACCAACCTATGCACTTTCCAATTACCCTAATAAAAACCTAATATTTCTTTATTTTTCTCTCTTTTTCAAAAAAAAATTTCCTTTGAAACCGTTTCGGATTTTAAAAATTCAATCACTGATTGAACAGTGAGACTATCTCATATAAATTTTTTTCATATTATAAGAGATAAGTATGGGTGATGTCAACACATGATACAATTTATAAAAAAAAAACAATAAATTAGTTGAATAAAAATATAATGTCTAAGGATAATACCGTATCAATGTTAAGGTCACTTTTGAGTTAGGAATTCAAAGATAATTATGATATCTATAAAACAAAAAGAAAAAAGAAAAAATTATAATAAAACTATTAAATTTAATGATATACTATAATTTTAGGATCCTTATCCACATAATAAACTTTATTTAGGAGAACGTTCCAAATTGTGATCTCACACTAAAAATACATACAAAGCACACTAAATATATATCAAACACATCTCCCACGATTAAACCCTGTAATTGCTTTTTTTTTTTTTTTTAATTTGAAAAATTATTAATAAATAAAAGTTATAATTTATATTTAGTCGTGCGGCATTTTCGTAATTGCAATTTGGCAATTATGTGTAGTTTGAATGTAAATAGATTTGATTGGTGGAAATAGCCTACCCATATTGAATTGATACATACAAGACATATAGATTGGAACCATCAGCCATTCAAAACCAACCGTACCTAACTGGCTCACACTAGAAAGGGCAAATTCGACACATTATATGTGAATATAAAAATGGTTCCTATGTGAACGCGTGACAATGTTGAAAGAGTCAAAATAAACTCGACCCTACCAGTACCACGTTCAACATCACATGTGATTCCTATAATAAATAATAATATAATTTAACTAAACTAAATCTCATCCTCCACAATTCAATTCTCTTTAGCCTTCTTCCTCTTTTATTTTTCATTTGTAAAATAAAAAACAAAAGAAAAGTTGCTAAACCCTGACGTGACCAAATGGACTCTACTTTCTTTACTATTTTTTGGTTCACTCATGAGATGCCAACACACCCAGTGACCCACGTAACTTTTCCTATTTCTTCATCAAATTAATGTCCGCCACTCCATTTATGCTAATTTCCCACGTTCAAGTTTCAATACGCGCCTTTCTTTTTCCAATGTAAGGGAAATATTTTTATTTGCAAAACAAGATATTTGTGTGGGTCGCGGTCATCGAAATATTTACAACTTGCCAGGATTTTAGTTTTTATTTTTATTTTTATCTGTTTAAAATTGTATTATTGTTTAGAGTTACAAAATAAAGGAAATGTTTGATTAAGTGAAAAAGAAAGTGCATCTTCTTCAGGGATTTGAAGTTTCTTGTTTGTTCAAATTCAGGAACAAAATGCGTACCAATAGACCAGCATAATGATGGTTAAAATGATAATAAGATAGAACAGTTGGTAGGGCGGTAATATGACATTGACTAATTCAATTCAACTTGTATGCTAATTTTCCACTAATGTTAATTAATCACATGATATTATAGTCACTTCCAATAATAATAAAAATATCTTCAACCACCAAATATCAACAAAAATTTTACCTCCTGTAATTCTCACTGACCACAGACATCCAAAAGTAATGGAGTTTTAGTATCTACTCAAAATAATAATAGTAATAATCACAACTTAGAATTACTTACTAAAACTAACATATACTAGATTCTTCAATAAAGTTAATTACATAAACTAATAGTGAGATTGATAGTTAGATCTAAGGTAGGCTCATCAGAACCCAACCTAAAAGCAACCAAATACAAAGCTAGGAAAAAAATAAAGAAAAAGAAGAAAGCAGGCTTCAACCTGCCAAAAAAGGATGACCGGCTGAAATATTAATACCGGAAAATCGGACATATAATAGTTGTTACAAACTATTGTGGGGATTGAGCAGCTAGGCCGAGCCACGACTTACTCTCAGCAGCCTTGTTTGGAAGTGCCTCTGGGTTAACTGGTTGGTAAGGTGCTCTGGCAGTGATCCTGTCAGTAGTCAGAACAAACATTAGCAAATCAATTTTTGAATTATCTAATGATATTACCGTCATCATGGCAGTGTAAATATAACAGGAGGACTAACACAAGAAAATGTTGATTTGATCAACATATATATATATATATTTGTTTGCTTTGTTTTTAGTTATTAATACAAAGATACAAGGAAAAATCCCATTGGTAAACACTTCGATTCTTAAATCACAAGGCAATTCAAAGACTAATTTGATACTTGGGTACATATGCAACTAGATATACACAAAAAAATGAAGAATTTTCTCAATATAAAATTCCTAATTCTTGAAATAGTTTCTGAAAGCCTACCTATCTTTTCTCTTCTCCAGGAACCTGTGGAGTGAATTTCTCCTAGCAATCGGTAGATCTGGGGCAAAAGAAGAAAAACTTTCATCAGAAACGCAAATAATTAAACATAATAGGTTTCATTTATCTCAACTTTCAAACTGAACAAGAAGTATTACCACAAGTAACAGGTCTAGGCTTTGGTTGAACATGCTCTGTCATTAAATTGGAGGAAGAAGGAACGGAACAACTTGGTTCAGTTGGATTTTTCACCAAGCTAGTAGTAGTAACGGGAGAGGTTGATTCAATAGGAGTTTTAGCCGACAACGAAGAAGCCAAAGGATTAAGAGTCGTGGTAGAGTGGCCCTGGGAGCTTCCCTGGCCAGCTAAGAGCATGATTTCGTTGGCTCTGTCAGCCGGAAAATCATTGAACACAATCACTTGTCCGCCATAGAATATGGTCATTTGTGCAGTTTGAGGCTCCGCAGCAACACTCTTATTAAAACTAATAAATTATAAAACAAAAACATAATTAGAAAAAAACTTTAAATTTTATTTTTGAGCTTTAATACTAATAGAGTCCGTGTATAGTGATTCAACTCACCTTGAATCTACTGGAACATCCTTTTTAGCAGCAAAACCAGTTAGTTGAGGGAAGAAGTTCATTGATTCCAGGTTTCGAGGAGCGGCCGCCGCATTTTGGGGCAAAACATCACCGGATTTCTCAAAAATTGGGAACAAATTCATAGTTGTTGCCGCCGGCCTCCGAGGAGCCTCAGATGTCCCTGCAAATTTTCCATTAATCAGACCAAACATTATATCTGTGCTCTGGTTATGAGATTAATCAAGAGGAGATTTATAAGTATGAATTTGGATCTGGAGATTAAACCGTCAAAAGTTAAAGAATCAACAATAAGGTTGCAAAATTTAAGGCAGAAAATAAGGCTCATAAGATGATGTACTAATTTCCCAACGTGATTAAAATCATTTTATAGATCTAAGTATATAAATCACAGCTGTTATGCCGTTATAACTATAAAGTAGGAAATATTTAGACCTTGAATTACACATTAATCCACCAATCATCAACGAATAAGTCACCCAATATCAATTCAGAGTGGATTGACGAACTGAGCCTATTTAAAACTCTAATCAAATTATCTTAAATCATTTTTCAAATAAGCAAGTAATCAAGAATAGCAGAAAAATAAAATATTCATTCATATTAGCCTTTTTTTTTTGTTTTTTTTTTTGAGAAAAGAAGAGCTGTTTACCATTTGCCTCAATGGTGCATGACATTCCGAGGCTAAGATCTCCAAAACCACCTCTCTCCTTCAAGTACTGACTCAAAAGACTACAAGTCTGAGAGAAACTTGATTTCTCAGAGGAGTTCGCCATATTTACTAGCAACTCAAACTCGCAAACACCGCGAGAAACAAAGCGAAAATCAATATAAAAAGAAAGTAACTGCTATAGATGATGGCCTGATGGGCGAGGTCAGAGAATTATCAGAACCGACTGTCTTGATCTCCGTGCTTCTTGATCACACTACAGGCTCAGGCTCTGCGTTTCTTAACTTGATGATCTAACTGAAATAATATTTAAATAGAAAGAGAGGAACACAGAGATAAAGAGAAGCTTATCTGTTTATTGGTTAAGAGTTAAAGCACGAGGAATATATGGGGCTTTTTAAGCTTGTTCTTTGCAGCTTCCAAGGGCTTCAGTATATTATCATTTATATTTTTTTATTATCTCGTTTGTTTGAGATTTCAAACACGTGTTCTTTGCGTTTCTGAACGACGGTCTTTGCTTTCCTTTTCTCATGCTCGATCAATTCACACACTTTTTTTAATGGCTTTACTATTTTACCCTTTAATTTCTTTGCTGATGTTTGTTTGCATGGATATCGTGTTCTCTGCATAGGACATAAAATTTAGAACAGTATTATATTTACAATTTTTTTATATAATTTAGTTCGTAATTAGTTAATTCGTAGTAGATCTTGCTGTCTAAATATAAATCGACCAATCACAAACTATCACTTCGGAGCTGTATTAAAAAATTGTAAGTGTAGTTTTATTGTAAATTTAAACCCATTTACACTAATCTACCATCATTATATATTATATATTGTTTAAATAAATTGAGAAATAAATAAATTTAAGAGACCTGATAATTCACTATTTTTATTTCAAATTATTTTATTAGATATAATCTTACAAAAATTAAATCCAAATCACCTCTGATATATATATAAAATCCTAAAAAGACTAAATTCAGTTTCTGCCTATTACATTTGCACTAGTTAGGTCTTTGGGATGAGAACCATCCTCAAGACAGGTACAACGATACCCCTTTTACCAAACAGAGTTACTACTATTCAAGAATGGCTAGAAAAGTTGAAATTCCGTTAAAAATAATGTTGTGAGGCGTGGGTTTTGGATCTTTTAGGAGTAATATTAGTTTTATAATCTAACTCATAATCTTTTTTTATAATCTCCCATATGATAATTAGTAATTAGTTAGTTTGTAAATAGATTATATTTGCTTGTTATGAACTCTGTTCATTCATTTATGAGCTGATTAATTATGGAGTACCTCGTCTGAGTCACTAGAAAATATTTGTAAAGTTGGATTATGAAGCTAATATTCTATGCGTGCTCCTACATGTTATCAATATGACCGAAGTGGGTCCCAACCTACAACTCCACCACCCTCCTTTTTTTTCAGAACAAAAAAGCAAGCGGCAACTGCACGTTCCTTCCACGAACCGTGATTAGACACGTGGGAATTTGTCCATTTCAAATTCCGCGTGGGGATTCTCTTTCACCAGTAGTTGAGGCAAGTGCAAGTTGTAAGACTTGGAGTTGGGGATATCCTGCTTCCTTATCCATTATAAGTTTCGTGTGGTCTTGTAAGCCGTTTTATCACATGATGTTGTTACTCCACCTCCACCGAATAATTTTTAGGTAAGTAAAAAATGAGAAAAAAGAAAAATGTTACCTAATTTTCTCAATGTCTTTTCTTCTGAGTTCGTAATTAATTCATTTATTATTAAAATTTTTTAAAGGTATAGAAAAGTTAAGAAATGTGACATCTATTTAGGAGACATTTTCATATAAAATCTTCATGTTATTGTAATAACTAATAAATACAGAACTTAATATATATCATGATAATTTTCATATTAATTGATTAAAATATTTACTGGCTAGTAAGATATCAACAAATATTTTAATTCATACAAAAATTAATGGGACAAAAGTTTTTTATTTCACCTATATATTATAAATAAAAAATCACATGTATTTTATCTTTATATTTTCTTTTTCATCAATACACATATCATGTCACAATCAATGAAATGAAAATTATAAACTACAAAATAAGTATGCAATTGATACATATCATCTATGCAAAATATAATGCACCCGTTTCAGGTAAGATTTTCTTCAATTAAAAAAATATAGAAACAATTGAAAAAAAAAAATCATCCCAAATTTAACAAAAATCTCATAACATAAAAAGATATATATCGGTAACAATAAATGTAGGCTAATAAATATTTCTCAATAACTTTTTCTTATAAATGCGACGTGGTAGTTCACAATTGATCAATTTACAAAGAAAAAACATTATGAATTTACCAATTGCGAGTTGTCACTTGGCGTCTGTGAGAGAAAATTAATGAAAAAGGTTTGTGTTGTGTGGGAGATCCGAAGAGGATAATTGTCTATTAGGAGTGAAGATATTTAGATTGACTCAATTTGAAAGGAAGATATTCAAATTGACTTAGATTCCAACTAAGGTAGTTGAAGATCATGCAACTTCCTAATCCTATATATTTGAATCATATCTCAACTCTATCATGGAAATATGTGCTATATAAACTCATTACAACTTGGTTTCATGGGGGTTGGGCAATTGTTATAGGAAAAGATTCATCATCTGTAATTCTCATGCAATAAGAGAAACAGTGGACGTAGGCTCAAGATTCAAACTTGTCGAACCACTTTAAAAATTGTCTCTTGTCATTACTTGTATTTTCTCTTTAATTGTTCAATTGTTGATTTCTATTAAATCACGCACACATCCGTTCCAATTCCATCAGGGTCAATTGGATTACTCTGGTTGGTGCGAATTTTCGTATTAACATTTTGGCACTAGAAGGAGGGGCTTGAACACTCCGAGCTCTCTCTGTTTTCCAACAGTTTCATTTCCATCTTCCAACCGCAAAAAACCAACCATGGCTACAACCCAAGTTAACAAATCTAACTGTGGAATCGATGCCATTGCCAGATGAGGAGTATTGAGCATGATAAACGATTAAAGAATCATCTAAATTCAAGGTCTGCAGCTCAAATTATCATCAAATTTCTGAAGCATGTTCCAAACTCGCCATAATTCATAAATGAGAGCGCGAACTCGCCATAAGTCATAAATGAGAGCGCGAAATAGCCATAACTTGTTAATGAGAGAGTAAATTTGCCATAACTCGTTAATGAGAGCGCGAACTCGAGCATGATACAGTTTGAATATGGCGAAATGTTAAACAAAAGAGTTGTAGCCCTTCGAGTAATCTTTCCAATGGTCCAAGAATCATCCAAATCCGAAGCCTACAGCTCAAGTTATCATTAAAATACTGAGATATGTTCCAAACTCGTTAACGAAAGTGTGAAGCTCATTATTTCAGAGCTTGTCATTTTAGATTTTAGAGCTCGTTTTAAGAGCTTGTTATTTTATAGCTCGTTTTGAAAGGTCGTCATTTTAGAGCTCGTTTTGAAAGCTCGTCATTTTAAAGCTTGTTTTGAGAGCTTGTAGTTTCAGTACTTGTCATTTTAGAGCTCGTCGTTTCAGAGCTCATCATTTTAGAGCTCGTTTTCAGAGTTCCTTGTTGAGAGCTTGTCGTTCCAAAGCTCTTTTTCCTTAATCGTCGTTTTTTAAGCTCATAGTTTTTGAAGTTTGAACTTACACTCCAAAAACTAGGGGGCTATTGTTATACGGGAAATCCAAAGAGGATAATTCCCTATTAATCTATTATGAAAGAAAATATTTAGATAAACTCAATTTGGAAGAAAGATATTCAGATTGATTTAGATTCTAACTAAGGTAGCCGAAGATCATACAACTTTTTAATCTTACTTATTTGAATCTTACCTTAACTTTATCATGTAAGTGGGAGTTATATAAAAACATTTAATATTATCCGCCGGAATAATAGCTTTCATCACTGAATAGAGGATTGTTTTTAACACAAAGGCTAAAACTACAGTCGCCATTAAATTTATAATATTATAATTAAACAATTTATTCTGGAACAGCAGTTCTATGATAAATATAAATTAGAATAGTTTGGGGATGTAATATTAGTTTCTTTTAATTATTTCTTTTTTCACAACTTGAGTTAAAATATTAAAAAAAAAAAATCAGTGAAAGACAATAAAATGAAAGAGTAATATTACACATACATCATTTTCCATACAATATTTTGTAGCAAAATATGATTGACTAATTTAAAGTTAAAATTAAATTTTTACCCAATCATATCTTGCCACATAATGTTGTATGAGAAATGTTGTATAAAAATTATGCATGTGTAGTCAGTGGCGGACCCAGGATTTTTACCGAGGAGGGGCCTCCGTGGCTCCGCCATTGTTTGTCAAACAACTAGTGAAAATTTTAAAAAAATCAACCAATCTTAAGCAAAAGGAATGATATAATATCAATAATCTGAAAGAAAATAATGCAATAATACAATACTTTACCATTTGAATAAATTTATGAGAAGCAAAACCTTGAGTAAATTATGTTGAAAATAACATTCAACTAACAAGGAAACACAAGAAAATTTTTACGTGGAAAAACCTGTTCAATTAAAGAGAGCAAAAGACCACGGAAATCTAACGATCCACTTAAATCCAATATAATTAACAGAGTTTACAATAATCACAATTTACAAAAAAATGTTCTACTCAAATTTCTTATTTCTCCTCTTTTTTTTTTTCTTTTTTTTTTTATTTTTTTTTTTTGCTTTCAAAGATTATAATATAAATTTTAATGATTTATTTTTATCATGCCTAGCCTAAGCTAAAGTCAACAAAAGCTTAAATTAAGTCTACATTGCCTTGACTTTTAATATGAATTAATAAAAAAAGGAAAAATTTTCTTAGTATAAACATAGATAATAACTCAAATTTCTCTAATAATTTTGAGCAGCTAAACGGTGACGTTTGAAATATAGGAAAGTGGTGGATGAAGAGCTAAGAATAACGTTCAGTATAGTTAAGGTTTAATTTGAGAAAGTAGGAACATTTTTAAACACAAAACAAACTCACAAGAGCTATGCCCTTTTCCATCAAATTATAATGAAAAGCCTAAAAAAAAAAAGCATGATTTAACCATAAAATAAACTAAAATGAAATAAACAAAACACATACCTAAAATTGAGAAAACGGAAAACGAAGTTAATTGTGGCAC